ATTTCACCCTTTTAGGAGTATAAAGGAAATGGGGCCACCTGTAAGTTGGACCAGGCGAAGATCAATGAAACAAAATAGAGAGTTGTAGCTCTCAGAGGGGAAGACAATAAAATGTGAAAGGCCTGGGGCAATGGGATGTGGTGTTGAGATACTGGCACCAGGTAGTAGGGAAGAAAACCTCCAAACACATTGTGGTTTGTTAAAACGCTGAGACTCCCCAGTGCCCCAGGGCTTGGCAATCCCACCCCACCAGGCAGAAGTGGCCTCGGCCACTGGGGAGGGAGGAAGGAGGGCCTAATGATCGCTCCATGAGACAGAAAGTCGGCTGTCCCGGCTCTATCCGTATGCCTCACTGCCTGATCTTCAGCGATGGACTCAGCTCATCTTGGACAATTTCTCCGAAGTTCACACAGTCCCCCTGGCTAACTAACGAGGTCTGATGGAGACAGATTTGTTCAAAGGAAATTTAGAGCAGGGTTCCTAAACCACAGCTCCTCCAGACACACCTGCTGGGTGGGGGCGGGGGAGGGGTAGGGTGGGCTTTTAAGCAGTGAATTTCAAGGCCTTTAGGCAGGACTTGTGCCTTCTGGCTCACACAGCATCATCGACTATGTTGGGTGTTTGCATTTTGCCTCTGTGTATAGGACTGTTGGTTTCAGTGCAGCCTCTGGTCCTTGTATGACAAACTGGACCAGAACCACTTCATTGACAGCTTGATTCTACCTCTGTATCAATTATAGCAAATGGGTAGTTCTAACGTTCCACCAAGATGATCTTGCTGGCCTACCTGTAATTTGCTCTATAAAGAGTTTTTATTTCTAGAAAATATGATAAAAATTAAAATCTGGTTAATCCAAATGGTAAAGCTTTAATGTTATTTGAAAACATCATTCAGGATCAAGTATTCTTCAGGTTATAATGTAACTTTGCTCAGAAACTTTAAGCTAGGCACAGACTGTTTTACTTTGTGGTGAAAACATATCTCTAAATAATGATGACATTACATGTGCTCGTGTGCCCCTTCCCAGAGATCTCCTAAGTCGCTCCGGAGAAGTCAGGAGTAAATGAGCATCCTGTATCTAATAACCAAACACCATCATCTCCAGCTTTACCACAGTTAAGAGTGGAGATCATCATGAATATTTACACCTAGCAGGGTCTTTTGTGCACAACTCTCAGAGACAAATGGTATTTCCAGTAATAGTTTATTGATTTCCAAATGCACAGGGGCGCTGAGTCCAAACATCCTGGGATAGCAGTAAATCTCTCTTACAAAATAATTTACAGTATGAAAATGATATACTGAAACATTAACTCAAATGTGTAATTCCCTTGAAAGATCGAGTGTCCCCTTGTTTAATGTGAAGGGTGAAAGAGGAAGGTGACTAAGAAGGGAATGTGACTGTGCATGGGAAAACAGGCAGAGGACGACAAAGGGTTCGTCGGCTGCCCCCCACCCCCACCCCAGGCCTGTCACTGTACAAAGACTGGTCAGGTTTGACTCCCGTTATATAAATCTACTGTCCCCTCAAGGTCGTATCAAGCCCAGCACAGGCTCTGTGGCAACTTTTGCACCAGTATACCCACAAGTGTCTTAATTCGTTTTCCTTTTCCTGCTCTGGCATTTGCTCTGCTGTTTCTGGTGTGTTCTCAGTTCCGAATGCTACTCTTCTACCAAGCAGGTCCCCTGGGCCTCTGGGTCTTGGAATGGGCTGGGGTGGGGGCTTTAGAACGCTGCTGGGTAGAGGCAATGCTAATGAGATCTCAACTCTCCCCTATGGGCCTTCTTTCTCTTCTAAGGCTGGGCCGAGTTCATCCAAAATGAGATTTGTGTTTTAAATAGAAACTTCCAGATGTGCTAGGCACACAGTAAACATGCAACCGATTTTCTTATTACAAAGCATGTACTGAGCGGCCATTATGTGAGTAAGGAATTTCAAGTATTGGAAAGGGAATATTTTCTAGGTGGGGGAGAGGGCTTCCTATGCCCTGCCACAACCACAAGTCATAAACTCAGCAGCTGTGCCCTCAGGCCTGACCAGAGTGGACAGATCCCCGGGTCACCCAAACCGTTAGACATCTTGGAGCAGCCTGGGAAGTCCCCTCAGGGGCGCCATGTTGGCTCAGTGCTTTAGGAGCTGAAAACCCTCGCCAAGGAGCTGTTCTTCTCGTAAGCACCTTGTAAGCAAGCACCGAAGCTCCATCTGGTGACGCTTGTGATCAGGGCTGGCAGGAACCTCTGCAGGGGTATGCAAGGTAATGAGGGGCTGTTCTGAATTCCCCTTAGTTCTTAAATTGTGTGTGTGTGCGCATATATTTACGTGTGTATATACAGATGCACGCATATCGTGTGTGCACGTGCGCACATATACACAGATTCACTGGACTCTGAGTTAACAAAGCCTCACAGAGCACAGCACTGGCTGGGCTCAAATATGAAGATTTCCTTTTCTGCAGGATTGCAGCACCAGACATTTTCAGATAAACTTAGAGCAGAACACCTTCCACTTTTACTATTTCTTAGAACTTCTATACTCTTGAAGGCCTAGAGACAGTTTATTTATGGGGGATGGCACCAAAAAGGAAAGGTCCCCCCCAACTCCTGGGGGCAGGTTCAAGTTAGCAATGTGCACTTCACAAACCTGCTAAGGTGGAAGAGTGAGGCCACCTCGATGCCATTTCTGAGCCCAAACGGTAGCCACGAAATGTAACTTTGAAAAAGAATCCATAAAGTGGCATAGTCAGACGGCAGTGGGGGAACCGGAAGCCTTTTCCTCCCTCTGTACTGTAGATATACCACAGACCACCACAAAGTTAGGAAGAGCTCCAGTATTTCCTAGCTGTGTAACTCAAGGCAAGGGGCTTCTATTACTCCTCATCCGTTCTATCATCTGACAAATGGGGGCCAAGTACAGGGCCTGGCTCACAGCTGGTCCTCAATACAGGCCATTTCCCCTCCTGGGCTGTCAGAGCTGAGACTCCTAAGAGAACCTCTTAGAACTGCCCTGGATTTCAGGACATCAAATCAAAGGACCTACCCACTCTCAGCCTCCAGAGAACCCAAATCTGGAAGGTAGCCAGGGACTGCTGTGAGGACCCAATTCATTCTGGAGACGTCCATTATGTGCCGCCCTTGATGACTTCTCCCTGGGGGTTTCTGCAAACCTAGAGCCTGCACCCAGTCACCACACACTGCTGAGCACTCTAACTTACTCACCTGGCAGGAGCTTAAGGCCGAGCCACATCCTCCAGCTCTGGGGGAAGCTGGTGCTACTGCAGGAAGCACCCTAGTTCTTACACTGAGAAATGCTGTTGGCAGGGACTCCGGAGCCTGGGCAGAAGCTGCTGCTCTGTGTTTAATGCTTCCCTGCTTAAAGTTTTATCAGGTGCTGAAGACAGCAGGAGCCCATAAAGCAAATCTGAAATCTTAAGTAAAAGCAAAAGGGCTTTCCTTGAGGATTACAGAGATATGATAATATAATGATAATATATTGAGACAAGCTGGCATGTATTTTTATATTTCTGTTCATATCTGCTGCATAAATGCTTGGGTTTCCCAAATACTGATTTTAAGTAATAACATACAATCAGGTAGGGAGGAGCCAATGGCCTATCCATTGTGAAGATAAGGCTGCTATTTAGAGATGAAACAATAATTATTGGGGAAAGATAAACACAAGCATCCAGATCGTAAAATCTTCTTCATCTTCTGGCTTTTAAACTCTTATAAGAGTGGCCACTTGTCCTTCTTTATGGGCAGTTCTGTGGGATACGGCTGGGGGTTGTAATTAGTGGTATGCCAAATTCTCCAGTCTTTGCAGGAGGATAGGTAAAGCACCGAAATTGTCTTAGCCATTTGTTGGCCACCAGTTTGAGAGAAAAATACTTTTTTTTTTTTTTTTAACAGCCCAAAGTACTCTCAGTCCCAACATCCTAACATATTTAGTGAGCTAGGAAAATCTTAACCCAGAAGCATATACGCCTGGTAGCTTCCTGGCCTGAAAGAAATAATTTTATAGCATGCACAGGATCGAACAATGACATAAATAGGATTCCTACAGTAAGTACTGTTTCTGCCTCAAAACCATCCTGCGCGCGCGCGCGCACACACACACACACACACACACACACACACACACACACACACACAC